CTCTGATTAGGTGCCCTGGGATGGAGCAGGGTGCGAGGGCTGCTGGAGTTAGTGAGATCTGATGTTTGTGTTCATCTACCCTGACCACTAATTTAGCAAGGCCCACAGCTTCCCACCCTGGATTCCAAAGCAATCACCACCTTCCAACCTGCTGGGTAACAGACTTATTATGGGTTATTGCTCATTGCCTGTCTCTTCAGCATAGAGTACAAGCTCCAAGAAGGCAGGGGCCTTGCTCCTTTTCTTCATTCGCATATTCCAAGGATAGAGAACAGAGCCAGAAACACACTAGGTACTCAATAAATATTAGTTGAATGTCTTCCCTTCCCAGCCGCCAAACACCTATGGTAGAACTGGTGAAATAGAGGCTGGGTCCAGAGAGGCCAGAGCGTGGCCATGCCCAGAATGTACCATGTAAGGTACAGAGCAGCCCTGGGAAGGGTTTCGGGGCACACATCCCCCCGCAGCCCCACCAGATGGGACAGTCAGGGGAAGGCAGACTTGTCCCAGAAGGAAGACCCAAGGCTGGGCACCAGGGAGAGCTTGGCTCTTACCCGCACCCTGCTATGTGCAACTCAGTACAAGGTACTGTCTGTCTCTGAGCCTCAATTTCCTCTTGTGTCAGACAATATTAACATCTTTACCTAAAACCAATAAAGGCGTCACAGCTTTGGGAACCTTCAGTCTGCGGTGAAATCCTGCCTCCGCTGCTTACTAGCTGTGTGGTGTCAGGCAATTAGGTCTCCTGTCTCAACCTCTGCCTCCTAGTCTATAAATGAGGATAATGACAGTGACTGCATCACATGGGAGCCTTTTGCACGTTCTGCCTGCTTTGCTCTTGGAACACTGAGGTGCAGCTCTGTCACTGCCCTCCTCATGGAGAACGATGGGAGAGTGGTGAGTCTTAGGCTCTCCCCATCCCTGATTCTGTCACCACAGCTTGGCTGATGGAAAGCTTTATGCATTTTCCTTGCTTAGTAAATTTTGATCTTGGCCATGCTCATCATCTGGCCCTCAGCCTTGGTCAGGAGCATGGCAATGGCCTAGCATTGACAAGACAGTTCCTAGGTAGGATAGGTGTCTATAGCCCTCCACATTTGTGCCAAAGAAAAATCGATCCTCTGAGTGAGGGTTGGAGGAGGAGAAAGATGTCAGGACCAGAGAAGGGATGAGGCCTAAAGGGCACTGAGCTCCATGTGGCCACAGGACCAAGGACTATTTGAAGGATGGGGACACTGTCAGACCACCCACATCCCAGACACAGGGCCAGCGTTAGTCAGCATCTCAGCCTGAGTTCCCTGGAAGGATCTGCGGTCACATGCCTCATCAAGAATCCCTGATATGGAGAGACTGGGAGAGGAAATGAGAGTGGAGGAGTAGGGAAGGGAAAAGAATGGGGAAGGGCAAGGAAGCCAGTAACGTGCTGTCAGTAAAGTGTGTGCTGTCGACGGCATGGGCTATTAATCAATTACGTGCTGCCAGTGAAGTGTGTGCTCTCAATAAAATGTGTGCTATTGACAAAGTGTCTACTATGAAGCCAGACGTCACCATGAGAAACGGAGCTTCGTCCCTTAGGGAGCTGCTGGGAAATAGTACACAAACACCTTCGTCAGAATTGACCCCCACCCAGGGGGATTTAGAAATGAAAGCCTGAGATCACTGGCTGATGGCTGCTCCTGGGGTGTAATTCCCTGAACTTTCAGCTTCTTTCAGTCTTCTGGCTTTCTGTAAAAAGGCTTTGGGCAGAGAAGGGCAGATCTTGGTAGTGAGAGGTTGGTTAGAACCCTGAAAGAACTGGGAAACATGGGCAGGGCTCTCTGGCCAGCTCTGAATTTGCAGCGTCCTGTGGCAGGAGACAGTCAATGGAGAAGCTTCTGGGGCCTTTCTCTGTACCAGCTTTCTGGGGAGCTGTGGATCTGTGAGAACCACCTCTGGATTCAGAGAGACCAGCTTGGCAGGGACTCTGGTAGCCTCCCCTCTTGTTCTCTAGGCTCGGTGCTTGGAGCACTGCCAGGTATGCCCCGTCTGGACAGCTTCTACCCCACAGAGAGCCTGGGGCACCATCTCTATCCCCTGTTCTCTGTCCTCCACGCTAGGAGGCTGTCATCTTCCTATAGTCAACATCCCCACACAATAGTGAGTGATTTTTTTATGGTGGTGAAATATATATAACATAAAATTTGCCATCCTAGTCATTTTTAGGTGCACAGTTCAGTGGCATGAAGTCCATTCCCACTGTTGTGCAATCACCACCACCATCCACATCCAATTTGTTCATCTTCCCAAACTCTGTACTCATTAAAACACTAAGTCCCCATGTCCCCCTCCCTCAGCCTCTAGTAACCAGTGTTCTATTTTCTGTCTCTATTAATTTGACTAGAGAGAGATTTTTAAAAAGCATCTCAGTGTCCAAATCTGCCTCCTCTCCCTTCTCTCTCCCCACCCCAGGTTGGCACTTGGACTCTGGAGTCAGGGATGATGCTGTGGCTGTCACTCTTAAACCTTGGTGAAACAGCAATGCTACAGAAGTTTGTGTAGGATTACTCTTTATAATAGAAAATTGTCTATAAATTAGTTCAATGAATCATGGCACACCATAAAGCCCAGCAATGCTACAGAAGTTTGTGTAGGATTACTCTTTATAATAGAAAATTGTCTATAAATTAGTTCAATGAATCATGGCACACCATAAAGCCTGGTGGACCACTATACTCACAACGCGGGTAAATATGATATGATATTGGAAAAGAAGCATGTTCCAAAGGTGCATAGGTTCACAGTGACCCCAAGTCATAGGGCCTGGGGCACTTATTTTCTTAGTGCTTAGCTAGATTTCTTTGCTGGGAGCTGCCTTCTGCTGAATGAGGCTACCCTAACAAAGATTACAGAATATATGCTTTAAAATGACTAGTGCTTATCCTTGGGTAGTGTGAATGCAGGTAATTTTGCTGTATTTTTCAAGCTTTTGCTGTGAAATATGTATTTCTCTTCTGCAGTATTTTCCAGCAGGATATTTTCACTCTACCTCTGTGCATCTCCTTGACTTTGCCAGACATTCCTGCCTCTGGGCATTTGCGCTTGCCCTCCCCTCTTCCTGGAGATCTCTTCCTGGAGATCTCTTCCTCTAGACGTTTGCTTCCCTACTCCCTCCCCAACTTCAAAAGTCACCTCTTTGGTGAGGTCTCCTCGGATCCACCTTATTGAGATATGACCCATCCCTCTCTCAGCACACTCCTCCCTTCTCCTGCTCTATTTTTGTCCATAGCACTTGTCACCCCCTGACATACTGTGCGTGCTACTTCTTTCCTTATTCATTGTCTGTCTTTACCCTCTAGAATATAGGGCCTCTGTCTGATAGCTGAGTGCTATTCTAAGAACATGGTAGGTGCTTTATGATGGCCTAAACACACAGTAGGTGCTTAACAAATGGTTGTTGAGGCTGGTTGCAGCAGCTCAGACCTGTAACCCCAGCACTTTAGGAGACCAAGGATCTCTTGAGGATAGCTTGAGGCTAGGAGCTTGAGACCAGCATGGGCAACACAATGAGACCCCATCTCTAAAAACAATTTAAAAATTTAGCCAAATGTGGTGCTTTGTGCCTATAGGCCCAGCTACTCAGGAGGCTAAGGTGGGAGGATTGCTTGAGCCCACTGCTTGAGTTATTCATGCGACAATGAGCTATGATTGTACCATGATACTCTAGCCTGAACAACAGAGTGAGACCGTATCTCTAGAAAGCCAACAAGAAGAAACAAAGGGCTGTTGAATGAATGAGTAGATGCATGAATGGGGCCTACTAGGTTCTCATTTAGGGACAGGAGGAAGTACAGGTGTGAGACAGGAAGTAGAAAACAGCAGCAGCAAATGGGGAGGGTGGGCAGGAAGAAGGAGGGGCCCTGGACTGATGCCACCCAATGACAAGCCATCACCCAGACCCAGACAACAGGTTCACTACAGTACTGAGGTCAGGTGGCAAAGGGTTCTGATATGGCTGCCAGGGTGACAGCAGCTGTGTGTCCAGAGCATCAAGGGCCTTAGGGCAGAGGGAATTCAACCAAGAAACTAACCTTCACACAAAACATCCAGGTTTTGAGAAGAGGTGTTCTCAAATCCAAACAGGTTGCCAGAGGCAAGTGGTGATCCTAAGAGGTTAAACTAGGTAAGGCCAAAGCGTAGATATTACAAGGACCCCTATTTTGTCTTGATACAAAATCTGACCCCTGCTCCTCCCTCACCACTCAAATGAGAACTGTCCAGTGGGTTGAACTTCCTGTTGGATGTGAGTTCTATATGTGTGCGTGCAGAATCCAGGATTCACGCATCCAAGTCTTGAACTTTCAATTACTCCAGGCAACAGCTACCCATTAAGTGCATGTCCTTGCTTAGCACTGTGAAGACAATGAAGACACAACAATATTCAAGTAAATAAACACATATACAAAACTGGGTTGCCAGAGAGAGAGGGCTCACTTAGAGGTTGCAGAGGCCTCTGTAGGGCCTCCCAGATATCTGAGGGAGCCCTGAATGATGATCATGCCCACAGCCCGTGAGATCAGGGGAAATGCACTCAAGGCAGAGCCATCCTCAGGGGCATGGCATGCTGCGATAGGGCTGGCAGGGATCTCAGAGCACACTGGAGGAATTTGAGGCCCACAGGAAGGGAGTGACTTGCCCACCGACACACAGCAAATTAGTGGAACCGTCGAGGGGTGGAGGATCGGCTGAGGCCCTCCCCACTACCCCCACCCCACGCCACGTCTTCGAAGCCAGATACTGGCTGGTGGCCAGAAGAACCAGCTATGAGCACCGGAGGCCAAGAGGCAGCTAGAGGTGAAGCCGGAGGTAGAGAGAGTAGGTACTGGACCCGGGGAGGTGGGAAAAGGGGACAGGGGGCGGCACCGCTGACGTCATTTCCGGGGTCGGGGGTATATAAGCGGGGCGCACGAACCCTGCTGCTACTGCAGTACTGGAGCCCAGTGTAGAGGTTTGTAGCGGACCGACAGACGGACGCGCGCCGAGCCACTGCGCCCCTCACCCCCACACCGGCGCCACTGCAGCCCGCCGTCCCTCACGCGGGTGCCTCGGTGCCCAACCGCACACCACCAGCTGCTCGGCGCCCAGGGTTCGCCATGCGCTCCGCCGCTGTCCTGGCGCTTCTGCTCTGCGCCGGGCAAGGTGAGCGAGAGCTGGGTGCTCGGGGGAGAGGGTGCCCCGTCGCCCCTGCCCTCCCCTGCCTGCTCTTGCCCTGCCTATCCTGAGGTCCAGGCACCGACCGCGCAGCGCCACGCGTCCCTCCACACCTCCTATCGGGTGCAGCGAGTTTCAGCACCGCGGACAGCGCTTCCGCCTCCTACCTCACTCCACCACCGGTTCTCCGCCCAGGACCCGCAGGACACTCGAGCCTGATTCCCAAACCCGCAGGGACCCCCTCGCACCCCCACCCCCTGTCTGGGCTTAGCGCCTCGGCGGCATCAGGGCCAGCGCTGGCTCCGCGCGGTGGCCGGCCAAGGTCACGGGGCGAGGGGCGGGGTTGGGGGGGTAGGGTCGAGCTGCTCACTCCCCGCCTCCCCTCTCTCCCTCTTCCATCCCCACTCTCCCTTTCAGCCCTTGACTTCTACCTCTGCATATCATCTCTTGAAAAGTCCCCATCTCTTCCCCCCACCTCTGGGGTCTCCCTTCCCCTGCACATGTCCCCCACCCCATTCCCACTGCTGCCCTTGGCCTTGTTTTCATAGCACATCCCCCTCCAGAGCAGCCCCCCTCCACAGCAGCAGCCTTCCCAGAGGGGAGGGGGAGGGCCTCCCAGCGCAGCCTCTGGGGCCATGCCCCTGGAGGCAGTAGCCTGGGAAGGGAAACAAAATCATCCCCAGCCTCTCTTTTGGGTGGGGGCAGTTTTGAGGGGGATCAGTAGATGAGTGGGCCCCAGTGAACCTAGTTGGGAGGGACTGGGCTCCCCCTGGAGCAGAGGAGTGACTCCAGTGCTCTTTTTTTCTCCCTAGTCACTGCCCTCCCTGTGAACAGCCCTATGAATAAAGGGGACACTGAGGTAAGAGGGGTGCTGGGATGAGGGGTAGGAGGCTCCAGCAAACACCTCACAGCCAGTTCTCAGGCAGCTGCAGGAGTGAGTCTGGCATACAGCCAAGAGCCAGCACTGCGGCTGCTGAGCCTGGGGACAGCTTGCAAAAGAAGATATCATAGATTGCTTACTTTCCCTGCCATCCTGCTGTGGGGACTTCCCCAGCTACCTCTGAGCTGTCTGTGCAGCCCAAAAGGGACCTGTGTCATATCCATTGGGTGGAGGTGCTAGGCCCACCCACTGTCCTGAATGCTGAATCCAGGAGACCCAACATGGGCTGGTGGGTGTGGCTTCTCTGTGGTGGTTCTTTGTTTACAGACCTGTAAGGACAGCCTTCACCTACCTGGCTGTGGCCTCCCCCTCTGCCTTTCATGTCTCCACAGGGTCTGCCAGCAATAAATGCCCCCCACCATACCAGGCACTCTAGCCCTAGCTCTCCTAAGGGCTACAATGAAATCAATCAATCAATCTTTCTCTCTCTCTCTCTCTCTCTCTCTCTCATCTCACTCTGTTACCCAGGCTAGAGTGCAGTGGTATCATCATAGTTCACTGCAGCCTCAAACTCTTGGGCTGAAGTGATCTTTCTGCCTTTGTCTCCTGAGTAGCTGGGACTGTAGGCATGTACCACCAAGCCTGGCTAATTTTTTCTGTTTTTTTGTAGAGATGGAGTCTTGCCCAAACTGGGCTTGACTCCTGGCCTTCCAAGGTGGTAGGATTACAAGCATGAGGCGCCATACCTGGTCTGCAAAAACTCTTGACCATTCTGGGACTGGTGGTGGAGGTCACATGGGAAAGGGCCTTAGGAAACACTGGAAAGGTTTCTTTAGCAACAAGAGACACTCCTTGCTGTGCATGTACTTATAATTCATTCCTGACTGAGCTGAAGCTGTTTTTCTAGGATTTGGTGCTGATGTAGTCAAGGGCCAAAGAAATTTCTACTCCCTACCTTTCCAGGAGCTATTTTCTTCTAGTAGAGGCCATGGTTAAAACCTAAAGCAACTAAGATATTTCAACCTCAATTTGCTCAATTATATTCCTGAAATTTTAGTTGCAGATAGGGCAGAAACCCCTCCCCAACCCCCCAGGTGCCATTCATTCCAGCTGTGCAACCTTGGGGAAAGTTCCTTAACATCTCTGAGCTTCCCCTTTTATTCCTTTCCCTCAAGAGAAAGAGTAAAGAGTAGGAAGTGCATGCACATAGGGGTCCTCAGTAAGTGGGCACTGTTGTTCACAGAGCTTCCCTTCTTGATCTCCCCATCATTCTTGAGACCCTGCCCCAATTTCTGTCTCCTGGAATTTGTCCCCATGGACAGGTGGTTATCTGATATGCAAGGACTTGAGTTTCAGAGGAGATACAGGACATAGGCTGCTGGACCCTCTTTGCTAGCTCCCTTAGGAGGGACACTCTGGGCCACCATATTATGACCAGCAAAGTAGGGTTAGGGGCACCAGAGCAGCTAGTTAAGACCTGAATGCTCCATTTGAAGCTGTTGTGAGTACACACACACACTGCAAAGCACTTGCCAGTTTGCCATCCGGGATCTTTGGACCAGCTGCCTTGGCATCCCTTAACCACAGCCTTCCACCCCCTCGCTCTGCGCCACCATTGCCTGATGCCTGTCTGACACCTTCTGCTCCTCTACTCAGCTTTAGGGCGTTGAAGCAGGTCTGAAGTTGTGAATCCTTCTCTATGTGTGTTGACACTTCACGCTTGAAAGAGTATTTTTCCATAAATGCCTCATTACCCTGGGAGGGAAGTTAGGAAGGTATCCTTATTCCCATTTTACAAATGAGGAAACAGAGGCTCAGAGAAGGTAAGTCACTTGTCCAAGATCACACAGCTAGTGTACCACACTACAATTGGTGCCACCATCAAAGATCATTCATTTATCAGGCAATTAATTATCTGCAGCACCTTGCTGAGCACTGGATAAAATTTTCAGAGATATGGCCGCAGTTGGCTTGAGATGGAAACTGAGACATAGCCAATGGGTGCTCACATCCAGCGCATCCCATAGTTCAATATGGAGCCAGAATACGAAGCTGTGACTCTTTGCATGTGACAATATCATAGGTGTTGGAAGACAGTGATCCAGGTCCTGTTTCTAGCTAGAAAAGAGCCAGGGAAAGTGTTTTTCTCCACTGAGCAGTCCAGAAAGACTTCCTGGAGGACTGATCCTTGGGCATCATCAAGACCAAAGCACATTTTAAAAACATCTTTGAGTGCCCAGAAGCAGCTTCCTCATATTTAGAGAACTAGCAGGTGGGGATGAGAAGATATCAGGTACCCACCCAAACACCCCACTCCCACCATAATCCACCTCAGTGGGGTACCTGCCAGCCATGCAATTGGAGTGCCTGGAACATGGTAAGCACCGCACGTGTATAAAGATTTCTACTATGCACGTGTCACTGCTATTACTGTCTAAGAAAGCAGAGCTGTGCCTCGGAGCCAGGAATCCACTAACTCTGGATGACAAAAGCAAATACCTTCTGTCCTCATTAGAAATTTGTCGTAGTGCCTCCAGGAGCTGAGCCCGATGCCCAAACCAGCCCCAACCTACCCCCACTCTCTTCCCAGGTGATGAAGTGCATCGTTGAGGTCATCTCTGACACACTGTCCAAGCCCAGCCCCATGCCTGTCAGCCACGAGTGTTTTGAGACACTCCGAGGAGGTACGGGCTGAGGGTAAAGGGGACTGGGAGACTGGGAGGTAGATCTGTGGCTTTTGATGGGAACCGAGGGGTGGAGGGAGATGCAGGGGTGACAGTCCCTATGTTTACAGACTGGCAGAGGGGACATATGTGAACATAAATATCTAGAATTCTGGGCAGAACAAAACCAGGACTGGAGCAGCAAGCCACAGACTGTGAGCTCCCTGTGGACAAAGATTTTGTGAGCTGTATCCCCAGTGCCTAGCACAGCCTCCAACACCTGGCAGACACCCTCTAGATATATGATGAATAAAGGGATGTTGTGAATGGGCATGAGAAGGACTAAATCTCCCCAGCCAGTCAGTCAAGTTTCCAGCATTTGGGTTGTGCTTTAAAAGAAACCTTGGAAATCAATAGGTAGAAAAACTAAGACAGGGCCTTCCAGGCGGCAGGGGCATGGAGATGGAGCATGTGTTGTGTTGAGGGAGAGACAGCCACTCTTACTCCAGGGCTACCATCCCTCGGGTCTGAGTGTTGGGACAGCAGCTGACCTTTTTGATGTAGTAGAAAACTGACACCTTGAAAAGGAGGTAATTTCAAAAGTGTTAACTCAAGACCCAATCTTGTTGCTGTTGCCTGGTTTTGAGTTTTGAGTTTCCTTGTGCTCAGCTGGAAATATTGGTGGTAATCTTTATCTCGGCTGTTCTCTGGAAACCACCCATGACGACTCTTTTTTCACTGCAGATGAACGGATCCTTTCCATCCTGCGACATCAGAATTTATTGAAGGAGCTCCAAGACCTCGCTCTCCAAGGTATTTTCCAGCCACTGCACATGATTCTGGGTGAATTCCAGTAGCTGAGAGTCAGAAAATCAGGTGAAGGTTGAGCAAGTTCCTCTCGGGTACTGTTATTTCCTTCCACTTACAGAGCAGAAAAATAGGATCCTCCATGCCCCCTGGTTCAATCTGTCATTGATATTGTTAGAGACATCAAGGCCAGAGAGGTTGAGTGACTTGCCCAAGGTCACACAGTTAATAAGGACATGGGAGATGCTGCTCCCCTAATGCTCCACAGTCTTTAGAGTTCAGCCATTTCAGGGAGGTCACTTTCAAGACTAGTCTGCAGAAAGGATTCCTTTCCTCTGTAAATGGAAAAGTAAATTGACCACAGGGAGCAAAGAGGGGCTCTTTTCCCTTGTCTTGCCTGCCCCAAACACAGACCAGATTTTCAGTGTGCTTCAGAGTGAAGGGTGGTTTTTTCCCTAAGAGATTAAGAAAATCCACTGAGGCTACTGGAAATGCAGGGAATTTAGAGGTAGTGAGCACCTTGCTAGATGCTAGTCAAGCTGAGGCATATGGAGTGGCGGGCTAGGCTGCTGTCACCCCACAGTCAGCCACTCTGCCGAGCTCCCAGCCCCTTCCAGGCCTGATGGAAGGCATAGCCCTGCCCCAGCAAGTTAGAAGGCCCGGTTTTGGCCCTGGATCTGCCCTTGGCTGACTTCCTGGGGGAGGTGGCCATTAGCACAGGGGCAGCACCACTGGTGCCCTCATGCATCCCCGTCTCTAGGAGAATCCTACAAAGTGAAGGCCAACTTTAGGCTGAGCTTGTGTCTGGGGTGGGGTGGGGTGGGAAGGCTGCTCTGACTCCAGGAAGGGGCCCACTCTGAGGCCTTTGGGGCACAGCGGGCCTTGCATGAGAATAGAGATTTGGAGAGGAGGCGAAAAAAAATAGCCACAGAAATGGGACCATTGTGGCCCTTCCCAAGTTAACACACAGTTCTCCCCTCACTCACTAGGCAGCAAACACCCACCTCCTATAGTTGTTGGGGATGAAGGGAGTCTGAACAGAGCTGAGGTTTTTATTACCCAAATTGTTAATGTCGTCATCACCCATCCCAGACTTACGTGTGTGTCTTTTAACTAAACATTAGATATTTTATTTCAATATAATAATTCTAAAATTAAATATTGAATGACTAACTAATTACATTTATATAATTAAATATAATGCCAACAGAGATTATCATGAGGGAATGTGTCCTGAAAATCTGTATGCAGACACATGTGTGTATCCAATATGGCACATACATTGTTGCTTTGTATTGTGAGAGTACTGAGTGTATTTCTGTCCATCCATCTACCATCCACTCTCTCCCTCTCCGGCTCCTATAACGCCTTCTCTACAGCTTCATCTCAGCCCTCACCATGCAGCAACCTTGTTTTAGAGATAAACAACCAAATCTTGGAAAGTTGGAGTTGCCCAAGGTGACAGAGCTAGGAAATAACCAGGAGAAGGGTGGAACCCACACCTGTCTGAGGCTATACCCACCCCCAGAAATCCCATCATGGCGGGGGGAGAGTGGGGACCATCTGCAGAGCTGGCCTGTCTTACAGGGCAGCATGAGGACCTAGGCAGAAATTTACTGTCTGGAAGGAGGAGGAGGGTGGGGGTGCAGGGAGAGAGGTTCTGGGCCATGGCAGCAGGTGGGCTCAGATGCAGCCCTAGGCCTCGACTTTCTTCCCAGGACCTTGACTTATAGGGCAGCAAGGGTTGCCTGAATCAAGACCCCCACCCCATGAGGGGACAAGTTGTCACTATTACATCCTGCTATAGGCTCCCCTGAGCTGCCAGCCAGGTTCTGAGAGGTTTTCCCCACTCCCCACCCCTAGGACCCCTTCTCCATTTGAGCCTTTACTGCTCTGTGAGGCCATAGGCAAGGTTTGTGCCTATTTCTCAAATTGAGAAACTGAGTCTGGAGAGGTGGTGTGGTCACCGGACAGGCCGCAGTGAGTCGATCCTTTCCCCGTACCCAAGCTCATGCCCCTCAGTGTCTCACTAGGTAGGCTTGGCACATGATGCGCCTCATTTACAGATGGAGGCCTTCACCCTGACAGACAAATGTGCCAGAGAGAGGCCAAATGGGATCTTTTCATCCTGTTCTCATTCTAGGTGCCAAGGAGAGGGCCCAGCAGCAGAAGAAGCACAGCAGTTTTGAGGATGAGCTCTCAGAGGCTTCTGAGAACCAGAGCAACCAGCCCAAGCTGGAAGGTTAGTGCCAGCCGGTCTGGCCAAGTAAGGGGGGGCAGGGTGATGACAATGGAAACAATAGTTATGGTGGATTTAGGGTCTCTAACAGTCAGGAGCCCCTCCCACAAGCCTTGGCAAGTAGCTTGTATTTCCTAACTTTACAAATGGGGAAACTGAGCCCAGAAGGATTAAGTACCTTGCCCAACATCAGTGGCCTGACTTGAGATTTGATCTGAACCTGTCTCTCTCCAAAGCCCTGGAACAGTCCCATGTGGCCAGCATAGGGGCTGACACTCTGGACAGGAAGTCTCTGGCCTGGTAGGTGGATAGCTTCAACTCCAGGTCTACCCAGTGGCCACTGTGGTGGAGCCCCTGTCCCCAGTGCCTCCCTCCTGGGGCTCTGTGGTACCTTAGCCATGTTCCAGTAGGATCCCGAGGGGTAGGTGTGAAACACTAAATGAACCTGGATCACCTTTCTCAAAAACAAGGAGGTTCTGGGAGCCAGAGTTCATGGTTGGGTCTACGTCATGTTCTGCACCCATCCTCCCCACCTGGGTAGAGTCCCAAATTGCCCTCACAGAGCCTGCTCTTTCCATGTTGAAGGAGGGCAATTAGGCCGGTTTCTGGGAGCTGGGATCCCAGTAGTCTTCCATTTGGAGCTAAGAGGGAAAGCCTGCAGGTGTGGCCCAGGTGTCACCCACAGGGCTGCTTGGCATGCTGCATGGATTCCCACAGAGGGGCTCCATGGGAATGATCTTGATCGATTAAGGGTGCCTGCCATAGGCTTTGGTGGGGTGTAGCGTAACACTTGTGTGTGTGTTCATGCACCTGGAAGCGTGTCAGTGCAAAGAAGTTGGCATTGGGAGGCTTCAGTTCAAGGCTCAACCCTGTTGCCTACAGACTGTGTGAGTATGGACAGGTTACCTTACCTTTCTACAGATCAGTTTATTGAGTTTCTGTGAAATGGACATGGGAGCACCTTTCTCTGGAGTTCTGGTGAAGCTCAAGTGGTTGATATGTTAATACTCAGTAGTGCTTTGCTCAGTGGTAACCATTCTTGGAGTGGGAGGGATTTCTGTTGATTATAAAGCTGTGTTTAAGGCAGCCACAAGAAAATACCTTTTACTAAAACCCTATGGAGTTGAAGAATCAAACACTTTCACAGGACAGTGAAGACAGACAAGCCCCACGTAGAGGGCAGAATAAATTTGCAGTAATGGTGCCTCTTACACAGAGAGGTTAAGCAACTTGCCTAAGATCACACAGCAGTTCAGTTGCTATCCTAATTTTCAATTCAGGGCTTTATCTTCAGGGGTAATTTTCAAGGTTTGATTATTTTTTGCACTGTGTGCGTATGTGTGCGTGTGTGTGTGTGTTTAAAATCAAGCTGTTTTAAGAGGAAGAATTAAAGACAGAAACACAAACCAATGTGCTCAAATCAAACCTGGATACGGATGGAAGGTAACCCTCATTGTTTGGGGTTGGGTTTGTTGAGATTACAATATGTAAAATCTAAAATTGGCCACTGGGGAGAAGACTCTCATGTAGCCTGGTCCTCAGGGCCTGACTTTGCTGTGTTGTTTCTGCAGAGGTAATGGAAGAGGCATCCTCCAAGGATGCTGTGGAGAAAAGAGAGGATTCTAAAGAGGCAGACAAAAGTGTTGAGGACATGGAAGGAGGCAAAAGTGATGAGGACATGGAAGGAGGCAGGCCCCAGGCCTTCCCAGAGCCCAGGAAGGAGTCCAAGACTGAGGGCAACAGCCAGACCCCTGGGGAGGAGGAGGCCACCAACACCCAGCCCCCAGCCAGCCTTCCCAGCCAAAAACACCCAGACCTGCAGGCCGAGGGAGACAGGGAAGGTCCCTCTCAGGGTCTGGTGGACAGTCAGAAGGGCCTGAGTGCAGAGCAAGGGCACCAGGCAAAGAGAGATGAGGAGGAGGGGGAAGAGGAGAGAGAGAAGGCAGAGGCAGTGGCGGAGGCCGGAGACAAGGCTGTCCCTGAGGATAAAGGCCCCACAGCAGCATCTACCCCCCACCCGAGCCTTGGCTACAAGGAGATCCCAAAAGGTGAGCATATGTATGCTGATGGAGACCTCAAAAAGTGTGCTGGGAGAGGGGGACAGTGGGAGGGGCACTTTGTAATCTCATTCCACTTCATAGTAACCCTGAAAGGTAGATATTATCTCCATTTTAGAGATATGCTACTGAGGTTCCAGCGGCTAAGTAATTTGCCCAAGGTCACACAACTAATTTGTAGTAAAAGCTGAGGTTCCAACCCAAGTTTGTTTGACTTCCAAACCATTCATATCCTGCTATTCCATCTAGGAGGCAAAGGGGGCATTGCAGAGTGGGTAGGTAGGTGGGCTTTGGGAACTGAGACAGCATGACCGGTGGGCACAGGCTGATCTGGGGACAGTGTCAGCATAGGAGAGACCCTGGCTCCTTGTGAGGGCCTCATCAGGCTCTTCCTTCACTCCTCAGGCCAGGTCAGGGGCTTCTGGGGTAAGAGGCCTAGAGCAGCGGTTCTCAACCTGTGGGTTGCGACCCACAGGAACTGTATTAAAGGGCTGTGGCATTAGAAAGGTTGAGAACCACTAGCCTAGAGGAAGAGTTGGGCTCTGGTCAACCCATCCCTTTGAGCTTTGAGAGGGTCTTACAAAGCCTGGCATGGAGATGGCTTTTCCCTCTAAGTGGAATCACTGTGGAAGGCTGGATTGGGTTATAAAAGCAGGGGTCTGTGGCTCTAAAGGTGGCCACAGCAAGGCCCCGGGGGAGTGGGAGAGGCTAGAGGAAATAGTGGTCTCTCAATCATTCTGCTCTTGTCCACCACCTGCTCCAGGTCGGTTGGAGGCTCTGGCTGTGGATGGAGCCAGGAAGCCTGAGGCTGAGAAGGCTCGGCCCCCACAGGGCAGGGGACAGCAGGAGCACTCCCAGCAGGAAGAGGAGGAGATGGCAGGGGCCCCTGGAGGCCTCTTCCGGGGCGGGAAGAGTGGGGAGCTGGAGCAAGAGGAGGAGGAGGAGCGGCTCTCCAAGGAGTGGGAGGATGCCAAGCGCTGGAGCAAGATGGACCAGTTGGCCAAGGAGCTGACAGCTGAGAAGAGGCTGGAGGGAGAGGATGAGGAGGACAGCCCTGACCGCTCCATGAAGCTCTCGTTGCAGACCCGGGCCTATGACTTCAGGGGCCCAGGGCCACAACTGCGACGAGGCTGGAGGCCGTCCTCTCGGGAGGACAGCGTGGAGGCTGGCCTGCCCCTTCAGTCTCACAGCTACCCCGAGGAGAAAAAGGAGGAAGAAGGCAGTGCTAATCGCAGACCAGAGGTTAGTATGAGGCAGAAGCCAATTCTGGGCCCCATGGCAGGGGGTGGCTGCCACCAGATGTGCAGCCCTGTCTCTCTGAGGGGACATGGTCCCCTTGGAGTCTAGAACTGGAGAGGTGCTCAGACAGGAGGCTTTTAGGGCAGTAAAAAGTACCCATGCTTACAGCAGGCACCCAGCAAAGCTGGCTGGGAGATGGGAGGTGTTCAGAGCAGCCAGTGGAAATGGGAGGGACACTGAGTGGGACTTAGTTCTGAAGGCAGTAGGGAGCTACTGCAGGTTCATGAGCAGGATGTGAAGGCAATGAGTGGAGCCTGTTGCTTTGGGTGGAGAGAGCTTGGAAACAAATACCCTGGCAGGATTGGCCTGGGCAGGCATGGGGGTGGGGGAGGAGACATTAAGGGACAGGTCATGCCCTGGGAAGGCTAAGCTGTCGGTTTAGCCATGTCCTCTCCTGGCCCCCAGGCAGCTCATTCATGCCCTCCTCCCAGGCTCAGGCCCTGCATCCAGCTCCATTGGCAAAGTGGGTGGTATGAGGCCCTCTGAGGACCCCAGAGCTTTGTGCAGTAGGTGGGAAAGGATTAGACATGAGCCAGAAGACATATGAACTGCTTCCTTCTAGCTGTGTGACCTTGGGCTGGTCACTCCCCTTCTCTGAGCCTCACTGATTCCCCCATTTATGAAATAGGAGTCCTTTCTGTTCATTTCATCGTCATGATTAGACCACACCCAGGGCCACTTGGAAAGCTGGAGGGTAGTGCTGGGATGCAGCCATGCAGGATGGGTGGGTGGGAGTTGGGGTCCTCCATGAAGCTGGAGGAGGCCCTGGAGTTACCTGATTTGGCCTCAGTGCCCATGTGTGAACTGGCACTCTATGAGGGCTGACACCTGTCCACAGCCCTGACCATAAGGCTATTCTCTGCCCACCCAGAAGAGGATCTGGCCCCTTCTTTGGGTCTCAAACCCTCTTTCTAGACCTGGCAGTCTACAATGATGAGGGCTCCTTCTTGACAGCTAGAGTGGGAGAGGGCACCTGCCCATGTCCCCAGAAGACTGAGGGGAAGGGGCAATGGGAAACAGCAGCTCACCCCCAACCCCAGCCTTGGGACTCGGGATGAGGTGGGCACCCTTGATTACCCCATCCCTGCCTGCACAAGCTGGAGAGAATGAGATGCCAGAGGCACCTGCCAGCATCCTTTCTCCATAAGCAGAGGGACCCCCAAGTGGCAGGTGGAGAAATGGGGACCCCAGAGTCATATGGACAAGGTGGGTGGGTGCTTCCTCTACTCAGCCCAAGGGTCTGCTTAGAACCCTCAGCATCACAGAACTTATGTTCCAGGCCAGGGCTGCTGCCAGATACAGGGCTCTAGAGTCCATTTCCATGGCCATCCATTGCCAATATCTGTGTCTACTGGCTGGGGTGTCCTTGGCAGCCTCATATCCAGCAGAAACCCCAGGACGACAACCCCTCATAGGTCAAGGTCAGGGAGGCAGCCTCCCCTGAGCTCCTGCTTTGAGTCTGAGAGTATGTTCTGGTGTGTGTCTAAGCTCAGGGGGGATCTGGAGGCTTCTGGAGATTGAGGCACAGAGTGGGGCTCAGAGGAGGGTCCCCTGCTTCCATGAACTACCCTGGGCAGCCAGAGCTTTGGGTCCCCCATACTTAGGACCAAGGATCAAGGTCCATCCCCAGGCAAGGTGATGTGGGGCAGTGCTCACAGCATCCAGCCCTGCCACAGGCCTCACAGCCCCCTCAAGTGGGGGGGAAGCCACCACCCAGATGTAGGCTGGGAGATCTTAAGGGCATCAGAAGCTTCATTTTCCATATGCTCTGGAAGGACAGATTCCCTGCTGTCTGAACCATTTAAGAGGAAGTGGGGCCTGATAAGAGGCCACCAGGAACAGTGCAGGGACAGAGCCCTCTGCATCACCCACCTTGTGCATAACAATCCTGAGAAGGCCCAGAAGGTGGGTATCACTGTCCCCATGTGATTGAATTCCTTGAGACCCAGAGAGGCAAAGCCACCTATCTGAGGCCACACAGCTACCTGGTAGCCAGCCCAGCTCATCTAGTTGACTGTACTCTCCATGCCACTGGGACAAGTCAGGTCCTGGGGCTCCCTATGCTGGCCCCTAAATGACCTTTGATGTTCTCTCCTAGGACCAGGAGCTGGAGAGCCTGTCGGCTATTGAGGCGGAGCTTGAGAAGGTGGCTCATGAGCTGCAGGCGCTGCGGCGGGGCTGAGGTACGCAGTGGTCCTGGCCCTGCTGTGCCCTTTGCAGGTTCTGGCCACATGGCCTGGACACTGCTTCTGGTAGGGAAGTGGCCTGTAGCCTGCCCAAGCCCAGGCCACCCTTCTGCCCCCTGTGCTCCTATACTCCTGCTCTCAACCCCTGCCCCAGAATGCCCCTCTGGGTGGACCTCCACGACTTTAAAACATCAATTATTTCTTCTCTGAACACAGGCAGCTTTTTAGAAGTTTCCTTTCCAATATCATATCCACTGGGCACAACTGCAATAACTTAACCGTTTGGTGAAAGCTGAGAACTCCTAACTGTAATACGTTCTCTATAAAATTTATCTAAGGAAAAATAAATCTGTTCTGGGCTCTTTTCCCTTTTCTTTGAGTTCCTCCCCCCTACCCCCTTCAACTCAGAGTAGGGTAAGATGCATTCAGTTTGGGCAAAGGAACAAGGGGAAATTTGGTCAGCCTGGGGTGACTCCTTTCTGAGTCACTTTCCAGCTGTGGGCCACGCAGAGGTGGGGCCGGGTTGGGGAATGGCCTCCACTTTCCGAGCCCGGGTCACCCCTCCCTCAGGACAGCATCCCTTAATCAGCTCTGGTGCTGGGCAGAGGCCCCGCTAGCCCCAGGCTAGTGCGTGGCACAGGCCCTAGACCAGCTTTGACGTCCTGACTTGGGCCTCTGAGCTGAGGGCATACATCTTTATCACACCCTGTCGTGACCTCTGCCCTGTTAACATGAGCAGAGTGTCTGAAGTTCTCGTGAATTTAGTGGTTCACTATCACAAGGCTGGTCCTTAAGTCCATTTTGGGAATGAGGAAACCAAGGCAGACAAGGTGAAACGATTCATCAAAGTCACAAGCAGGTGCTTGGAACATTTAAGCATGGGGACTGAGTAGGATTACACAATCAGGACGAATCATGCTGGTGCGCTGGGCCCATGTGTCCTGACTATCAGGGCCACTAGGTCACTCATCAAACATTTGTGCATGGCTGGTAGGCCGGAGCACACAGAGATGGCTGGGAAAAGCCCTGGTTTTAAGAAACCCACTGACTGGTTGGTGCCTGTGGCTCAGTGGATAAGTCACTGGCCCCATATACCGAGGGTGGCGGGTTTGAACCCAGCCTTGGTCAAACTGCAACAAAAAATAGCCAGGCATTGTGGCGGGTGCCTGTAGTCCCAGCTACTCAGGAAGCTGAGGCAAGAGAATCATCTAAGCCCAGAAGTTGGAAGTTGCTGTGAGCTGGGACATCACAGCACTCTATGGAGGACAATAAAGTGAGACTCTGTGTCAAAAAAAACAAAACAAAACAAAACAAAACCCACTGACCAGCAGGGAAAGCTGGACCCTTTAATAGCCAATGCAACCCATGGGGACAAATATGCACTCAGCAGGAAGGGGGCCCAAGCCCACACCTGGAGCTTGCACCCCTGAAGGCTTGGGGAGGGAGAAACTGAGTTTGAGCCTGGCTTTGCTGGCCTGGCTGATTGGCCTTGGCTGGTCATGTCACCTCTACAGGTGGCAGCTCTGGGGCTTTGTACCTCAAGTACAAGCAAACCAGTAGGGGTGATTATTCTAGGCACTGAGAGGAGAATGTGTGGGGAGGGGTCTTGGCCTTAGCAGGCTGCCTGTGTGATGCTTTCCCACTAGGAACAGGGAAACCATGGGGGGGTGCACAGGCGCTGCTGCCACTCTCTGGGCATAGCCAAGTCCAGAGTGCCAGCTGCAATGTGGGAAGCAAGTTCCTGCAGGCTCTGTCTGGCAGGTCTGAGCAGGCAAGGTTCAGCGGCAAGAACTCAATTTTGACCTCAGACTGGGGTTGGAATCCCTAGCTTAGTAGTTAACTAGAGAGTTTGGACAGGTGTTTCTGGCCCTCAATATTTATTATCTCTATAACAGACTTTATAGTGAGGATCGGATTGTACAGATGTCAGTGCTAATGGCAATGTCCTGGAGAAATCACGGTGAAGGGCTGTTCAAGAGCGAGCTTCAGAGAGGTGTGATTCCACACAGAGCCTTGGAGGAAGGGGTCAGACAGGTGGTGAGAGGGGACACACCCTCCAGACATAAAGGGAAAAGTGCCATGATTCCTGAAAAAGCCCCAGTGGTCTGGGTGGGTCTTGTGGGTAGAACCAGAAGGAAATTATCAATTTGATGGCAACACGAGTGTTCGGGAGGTCTTGGCAAGTCTGGGCCTTTACCCTGATGTAGGCTGTGTTTGCTGATGGCGCCTGTCCCCAACACACGGAGGGACACCCTCCAAATGGCATGCGGCAAGCTGCTTATTTCTTCACTTTTTTCTAGGAGATAAGTTTATACTCCACCCCCAACAATTATAGAAATAAACACAACACTAACTGTATTCCACTAGACCGTTAGAATTCAAAACATCTGCTACCAAAACTAGTTCGTAAATACAGGGAATATGGGGACACCATGTCCCTGAAATAACCCATCCCAAAGATGAGTCACCTGCAGTGTCCTTGCACATGGAATAGACATGTAACCAACAGAGAATAGCATTGAATAGGAGCCGTGACTTTATAGATAGTATGTAGTCATATATGCTATATATGGGTGTGTATGTACACACGTTAAGTACAGACCAGCCTGGGACTCTGATAAAGTTGCTGTGATCAGGGCCGAAGCAAACAGCATTTGTCACACAAAAAACAGGTGTCAGCACTAATGGCAATGTCCTGGAGAAATCACTGTGACTGGCTTTTCAAGAGTGAGCTTCAGAGAGGCGTGGAACCAGAAGGAAGAACCTCACTCAACAGAAGCCAGTTCATGCCCAGGTCCCCTCTGAACAGAGTGTGTGGGGACCATCACTCCAAGACCATGCTGGCAATGGTTGTGCAGAAAGAAGGGACAAAGGCACAGACCCTTTGTCAAGGGACAGGACCCATGGGGAGAAGGCTCAGGCATGGACAGGGTAGGCGGCATCAGGGCATGACAGAGGCCCAGACCCTTTGTCAAGGATTGCCATACGGTCACCTGTCCTTGAGGGCTGCCAGCATCCAGCTCAAATATCAAGTTGACAAGGGCCTTTGAAATATGGCACAGGAAGGAAAGGCACTTCCAGGGGGTTAAAATCCACTATGCAGGGAATAAGAGTGGGCAGACACAAGCCTCATGGACATCTCTGTGGCCAGTGGGCTGTCTGAGTGACCTGAGCCAAGGATAAAGGCCCTGCCATCTCCCTTGGTCTCAGAGTGGCCATCTGGCAAATGCCAGCTGTTTTTCTCCATTGCCTCAAAAACCGGACAGCTTTCTATGAAGGTCTTCCCCTGGCATAAGAGGAGTGCCTTCTCAAGGCCATGTTCTCCTTTATCAGACGGAGGGAAGATACAGGCTGCCCCTGCACAGGAAACCCCACAGATGCCCTTGGGGCTTCAGCAGGGTGACCACAGGTGCAGCCCTACACTCCATGTGCAGCAAACTTCAGATGTGACTAAGACATCAGGTCAAAGCCCCTGTTCCAAAACACCTAGCAGCTGGCATTCAGCAAGGTATCATGTTTGTGGAGTTGTATCATTATACAATCAAAACATCCTCAGGCACTACCTGCCACTAGGGTGTGGCTCCAGGGTGCCCAGTGCAGACTGTGCAGGTGCCCAAAACCTCAGCCAAAGAGTGGCCCTGCTGAGGGAGTGGGGGAGGGGCAAGATGGCAGCTGAGTAATGGCTTCCTTACAACTGGGCACGGTGAGACTGGGGAGAGAAGACTTCAGGCATCTCTGGATGGTGGAAACTGCCCAGAAACATCCCTTTGGGGACACAAGGAGTCAGCAAGAGACTTCTGGACCCCAGGAGGAGGACAAAAGCAGTGGAGAACTGGCAAGCAGTTGCATGTGTTCATCAGGTCTAATCCTGCCTGCAGCTCTAAGTACAGCAGCAGTGAGATTGCAAACTGAAGGCCTTCCTTGTGAGCTGTTTTGTTTTTTTGGACTTGAGGACTCAGTTGAACTACCTTGGGAGAACTTGGGTGAGAGTGCAGAGGGCTTTAAGCGTTGTCTAGGACCCCAGGCTGAGCCGCTGAGCTGGACAGAGCTAATAGTGTTCAGCTGTGGGCCACGCGAGCCACTGTGGGAGAACTGCCCTGACAAGCTCCATCCTCAGGGTCATAGAGTGAGGATCAGTGGGAGACCTTGAGTGAGTAATCTAGTGACTGAGCAGCCTAAAGGTGGGGAATGAGACGCCTTACAGCCTTGGCCCTCAGGTGCATAGAGTGAGACTGGGTAAGCGGTCAGCCACATCAGGAGTGATCCCAGCAACAAGTGCTTTCCTAGGAAAGCTTTGCCTTAGCCAGGGTTGACAGTTTAAAGTGCCTTTTAAGTGGGCTGGGGAGAGATTTAGGCTCTCTACCCTGTGGGGTTTGAGAAATCAGCAGAGGCCTCCAGTCTCCATCTCGTATAGCTGTATCAGCATTGTGATTAACATCTCATACCCTAAATCACCTGTTGCCCAGACAATATTCAGCAAGATATATATGCTGCTTTGTTTTTGGTTTTTTTCTTTTTGTCTTTTTAATTTCAACATTTTCCCTCTAGATTTTTCTTTTTCTTTTCTTCATTTTTCTAGTTTAAATATAATTTTCCATAGTTACCTTCTTTAAAAATTAGAACTTCATTTTTGCTAGTGTTTCTACCCCTATTATTTATTTTTCCCCCCATTTTATCCTATACAGTGTTCTGTTTGCTTGTTTTGGTTTGATTTATGGCATTTTTTTCTTTCCTCTCTACTTGGTGGATGTGGGGTACTGTGTCTGAGCAGGCTGGCAAAGAGCTGCTGACCTCAAGGGAACCACCCAACCCAGCACCCCCAGAGGTTGGGGGCTTTTTAAGGTTAGGTCAAAGTACCCTACTGTACACCTATATTGCTCCTGTCTCCCTCTTTCTGTGCCGCTCTTATTTTTGTCAATGTTTCCTTTTACCCACCCCTTCTCCTTTCTCTTTCTTCTTCTTCTTCTTTTTTTTTTTTTTTTAAGTCTTTTTTCCT